TTTGTTTTTTCTGTCTATCGGGAGTTGGAGGATTCGGCGCTACTGAGTGAATCTTTCGTTTAGTAAGCAATTTCTTCACTGGATCAACCAATAATTCTTGTTTTTGTATATTTTCTTTCATAAAGGACTAAAGGTAAAATTCTTGTTAATAAAGAACTGATAAGAAATTATAAAATCTTAATATACTTACAAAAAACTTCAAACATATTATAATTGCTTCAGATAGGATCGGTAAATCTTCCCAAATAAGAGGAACCTTAAAGCCCCCGAATTCACGCAGACAATATGCCTTTTGATGTATTGTGCACCAAAACAATGATACATCAGTGCAGTGACCTAAGGCCCCAAAGCTTGCAAGATCCTTGTTATCACATGTTCCGTCATTAAGTTGAAAAATTATTCGTTTATTTAATACATCCCGCATAGTTCTGATCAGCTTATAATCATGAAGGTAAAATTGAGTAAGATCATCGTAGTCTGGTGGACCGGTTTGTTCATATACAAAGATTTCCTCATGGGTTTTCCAAAGACGAGCTAAACCATCGGCTCGTTTAGCAGACAAAACCGTGTCGATAATTGGGTTAAGATTGGTATTACGTCGGTGTTTACTGCTTTCTATTGGAACTTCGAGACTAAATATTGCAATATTAATTAGTAACTGCAAATGAATATTTTCTTGGGTTAACTTACATTCGCCAGTCAACATTACAGATAGCATCAAGAGTATTATTAAGTATCGGATTTACAAACTGAGAATTGTACTGATTTTCTTCAAGGTCCCCTGATTTTAGTAAGTTATACGGTGCTTTAAATGCTCTAATGCTAAAAAATGCAAATCAAAAATATTATTATATAATAAATTTAAGAGTATCCAGAAGCCTAAAGGTTGAACATACTATGGTGAAAGAATATTATATATTGTATCCTTTATAACAAGGTCTTCATCACTTTCATTCTCATCTGAATTTACATGAAGATTACGCCAAGATTTCATCCATTCTACTAACGAGCTTTTTGGCTATTCGTCACCAATGAATAATAAAATTAGTCAAAACTGTCAAAATAAAAGCAATCTGCTTTTTTCCAGATCTTGCAACATACCTTGAAAGTATTATTAATTAGCTCTTCCCATTTGTTAGGTAATTTGTATCGAGGATACGTATTTGATATAAAATCTCCCCATATAATTTCAGGAACTTTTTCCGTAAACTTTGAGCCAGGCCGAAAGTCCATTATATCACTGTGACATAAACTAATAAAAGATAATAATTAAGACTCTTTTTTCCATGTCAATCAGAAAAGCAGATTCTACATACTCAAAAATATTTTCGCAATCTTTACAACAATCTTCAAAAATTTTCTCTAAATCGACATTGTCTACAATCAGTGTTGTTCTTTCGACTTTTCCGATCATTGATTCTGTTGCATTTTGGGAATCGTCATCCGAATCTGAGTTAATTTAAGCAATTGTGTCAGCAACGTAGCGAATCTGTAGCACAAGCTACTCATTTGCAACATACCACTAGCTATAGCATCATTCTCTTGCTTGTTGAATGGAACGGTTTTGATCTACGCATTCAAAAGTAGTCGTAGGGTTAGAAGCGCTTTTTTGAAAAATGAAATATTAAATTATATTTTGACCTTGTCCGGTGGTATAGAAGGTGCCTCTTCCTCTAAATTCTCGTTCTTTGCATATAACTCATTCAACAGATCTTTTTCAATCTGCTTGGTAGTTATTTCTCGTAGTAAATAATCTTGGTTTCGGATACCTTTCGTCGCATCCAGAATCTGTTTGGTCTAAAATGAACCTTTCAGTATACTAACATTGAGATCTGGTGTAATAAGGTATCAAGTAAACACAACTAACCCGTTCGATATGAATCTGGTTTTTTAATTCGTTCTTTGCCAGATTAAATCCAAACTTTTTAGGAAGTGTCAAGCCATTAAATTTCGGACATACCATAAAAATAACTTACTTGTTGCAACTGAGCTTCCTCCTCAAGTATCTTGCTATTCATATGAATGGTTTGTCTCTTCGTTTGTAAATCCCAAAAAGAAATTAATGATTGCGATTTTTTATCAAGCTTGTTATAGAAAGAATATTAATAAATATAAAGGAAAAAATTTGACCAGCCTGAAACAACGGACAAACATGCAGTCTTTCCCTTGAAATGTAAGGTAGTCCGTTGAAACATTAACAGCCCACTAACATACAGCTCACTGCATGCTCATCAACTGACCGCGATCTTTTCCCACTGCCAACCGCAATTGGCAGGGTAGTTGATGACGGAGTGCTAAAGTGTTGCACTGAACACTAACATGCAATTTATTACATGCTCACCAACTGACCGCGGTCTTTTCCCACTGCCAACCGCAATTGACAGGGTAGTTGGTGACAGAACTAATGCAACTCAGGCTGTTTAATCAATCAAAAAAAAAAAATAAATAGCTTGCCTTAAATGAATTAATCAATTTTTTTACTTTTTTCCCGTTCTCGGACGTTTCAGAATAGTACCCTTTGATCGTATCCAAATCGCTTTTGTACTGAGAGTACTCCGTTTTTTTATCTTCTAGAACACCTTTTTGGAATCGAAAATCTAGAAACTTTTTAAGTGAAGGATTGTCTGTACTTTTCCAAAATTCTACATATTCATGGACGACAAGTTACATTATAATTCGTTCTCATAAGAAATCACTACCACAGTTTATCTTACCATGGGTTTTCAGTGCGTTGAGACAATCAGTCGACAAGTGCATTTTGAAATCAAACAAAAATTACGCGTTCCTAATTATTATATTACGTAATGATGAAATTTAGTCACGTGTGCCAATCATTTTCCGATTAGTGAAAAGTCGACCACTTCGGGCAGAACGCCATTTAATGCGAGTCCCAGCATAAAGTTATTTTTTTGTTCTCTTACGTCTCTGAAAAATATATATATAGCTGTTTTTACCAAGATTATGCTATTAATTAAGCGAATTCATTTTTTCATTAGCGGGTGCATGGAGAAGCATATACACATTTTTTTTACACGTATATTAACAGCGGGTTAAAGAATAAAGCCTGGTGCGGGCGAACTTTATTAATATATGCCCTCCTTTTTCATTTCATCCAAAGGCATAGTCAGAGTAAAAAATATATTCACTTTAACAGTTTATGGAAGTGCAATTTTTAACTTTTCACCCCGACAGTAAGTTTCATCCCGGAACGCCGATCAATTTATCTAGCCCAATATACATTATTTAATAAAGCATCAGTGGGATGTACATGTATAAAACTTCGAGAATGCGCCATTATATTAATTAACTCAATCTCGAAATTCTGCCATCACATGACCACTGCATTTTATACTTGCGTATTCTTTCTAACATGAGATGTTATATGTCCACACCACAAAAATTTTAACGTGTCTCGACCGTAACTCAAACGAAGTACACCTTTTTTTCATAGAATTATATAAGAAAAAATCTATTGTGACTACATCGCACCTTCATTGTATCTTCATTACATCTATATTATAAGGGGTGTAATACATAGAGCAAAGTTAATTGGAACTAGCATTACGTCCGAAACTATATAAAGAGAGGCAGATTCGTTTATTGTGATCAACAGAAAAAATATATTTAATATTAAATAATCAATTAACGTGTGTTGGAATCATTATTAATATGCGCAGATTGAATAACGATATTCTGATTTTGTATAGGTTTCACCAGTGTTTAAATCATAATAATAACCTTCATCATCATCGTCAGAAAATCCACAGAACCCATCATCATCAGAGGGTTCCGAGTTAGAATCTAAAGAATTATCGGGTTCACCTACCTCTTCCTCCAGTAAAGATTCGGCTTTCTCGCTTATATTATTATCATCATTCACAGTTTCTTGTTTATCCTTTGAAATTGTTCCAGTAGATATGCTTACCTCTTTCACCGGTAAAGATTTGTTATCCTCATTTATCATATCTTCCGAATCAGACGTATTAGACAATGGGATAGAGGAAGCAGATGTTTCTGAATTTTTATTTTCCTTCTCACAAGAATTTTGCTGATCATTTCGTGAACCCGGTTCACAAAGTTGGGTTACAGAACTTTTCTCATCATCCCGTAACTCAGCCAGAGGCAGGCTTACATCAATGCTATAATCAAAAGATACATTATCTATAATACAGTAGAACCTCTATTAACTAATACTGTATTAGCTAATAACCTCTATTAATTAATAGAAAATTAATAGTCCTAAACTGGGAATTAATATTATAGTTAATAA